ATTTTATTAGAAAATTTATATAGAATATGACATTAAAAATTTTCGAAATTTTACATCCGAAAAAGTCTTATCTCATGTAAATTTTCGGATGTAAAATTACATGGGGTACGATTTTTTTGGACGTAAATTTTCGATTATAAAATTTCTCCCAACTTCTTTACAAGTTTGATTGTGCCCCCTAACTTTTAAGGTCTGTGTCCGCCCCCATTCAGTCATGATGTCAATAGATGGTATGTCTTCAATGCCATCTCTCCGCTTCCCATCCTCTCTCTTTCTGCAATTTCTGACCCCAATTAGATACAGCCTTGTGAAATATATATTGTAAATTTGTTAGTACAATCAAGAAAGAAGAAAGTGAGATTCTTGATTCAAATGGTTAAAGAAATAAAGAGAGATTTTCCATGTGTATAGAAGTCTTGATTAGGAATTCTTAACATAAAGGAGATTGGATAAAATAAGGAAATCAAGATTTTGGAAATATTAAAGAGGAGATGAAGGAGGTGGAAACGAGAAATGAAGAATAAGGCTCAAACATGTATGTGATATGTTGTCCCCAAAACAATATTTGCCTCCTCTAGTATGCTTTTAGGATTTCCGGCAAATAATTTAGAGGATTGACAAGCCTTCAAGAAAGAAGCACAAAGCAAAAATAATTCTTTCTAATCGAACTTGTTGAAAACTTGAAGAATGTTTGAATATGTATTAGAATGGGAAAAATCTAGTGTAGAAATGAATGATGAAATCTTATGTCATTTTCTTATGTTTGGAATTGGAAATCTATCACTTATTTATAGATTTCTAACATTATAACACGAAATGGCTCCAAACACTCATGGAAAGTTGAGAACTTTCCACCAAAAGTCACTAGAAATTCAAATGAAAAATGAACCATACGGCTAAATTTTTTAACCATGTGTATGCATGGTTATATCATTGCGTACGTATAGTAGATGCAAAATTGCTTCAGTTTCCAGAAGACAACTTCTTGTGTACACATGACAATTTGGCCTGTGTTTACACATGGTTATGCGCAAATCTTCCATAATTGCCTTCCAATTTCATCCAACATTGTCTTCCAATTTCATCATTAATTCGTTCATATTTCAACCCAAATTTTGAACAACAAATAATTATAATAATTATATAACACAAGATCTTCTGATTTTCTTGCAGACATGATTCCACCAAAATCTTTCCTTCTACACACCCACTGAATTGGATCTTATTGATAAGTATTAATATAAACCAACAATTAACGATAGACACTTCGATAAGGAAAACACATCGGGCAGGAGCATTTAGTTGGTTTTCATGTGCTTGCCTTTCTTCTCTATTTTCATCTAAAAATCTGTAGTTTGAGGGATGCAAAGATTGATAAATCACAGGTTCATGAGTTGGCCGTAGTTGGTGGATCGACTAGGATTCCAAAAGTTCAGCAACTTTTGCAAGACTTTTTCAATGAGAAAGAGCTTTGAAAGAGTATAAATCTCGAAGAGGCAGTGGCTTATGGTACCGCGGTTCAGGCAACTATTTTGACTGGTGAAGGGGATGAGAAGGTGCATGACTTGCTATTGTTGGAATTTGATTTAAGATTGAAAGTTTGGTTAAGTATAAAACTTGAAAAATGACTTTCTGTCAACTTCGGTCAAATATTCGGACTAGATCCGATAGTCAAATTATAAAAATAAATAGACTAACTTGTTCTTCTTGTCGAGCAGATTTTCGTAGTATATTTGGAATTTCAAAACCAATTCCGGATGAATGGAAAATTGCAATCCAAAGTTGGTGCGTGTCTCTTCACTCAACCTTTCCTCCTCTATAAATAGGACCATTTGGACATCGATTATGCATCTCATACCATTTGCATCCAAATCTCTTGCAAAACATCTCCAAAATTCTTTTCCAAAAATTATTTCTTGTAGAGAGAAAAAGAATTGTTTGAGTTCGTTGTTGCTTGTGGTTTGAAGTGCTTCAACTACAAGTTGTATCCGTTGTATCTTGAGAGACAAATGCCGTAATCCATAAGTACCGTTGCAGGACAATTTTGTTTTAAGGAGAAAATGTTTTATCACTTGCCTCAGATTTTTCATTCGTTTCTCCTTCTTTTTTTTTCTTTTTTTTCATTTTCTATTCCATATTAAGTTTAATTTGCTCGTGCCAATTAAACTTTACCATTCACTTCATCAATCACAAACAACCATTTCACTACACAATTAACCAATAGCTTTTGCTTGATGTCACACCTTTGAGTCTTGGCCTCGAGACTACCGGTGAAGTCATGACTACTTTGATTCCAAGCAACACCACAATTCCGACAAAGAAATAGCAAATTTTCTCGACTTACTTCGATAATCAACCTAGTGCGTGTTGGAAAAGTTGAGCATATAGCTGACTTTGGATGGAATTTTGAGTGGGCCCCATTTGGCCTAATTGAAAGATGAAAGTTGATTTATGTTCTCCTCCATGAGTACATCGAAATCATATCCTTTGACTTTGGATGGAATTTTGAGTGGGACCCATTTGGCTATTTTGAAAGATGAAAGTTGATTTGTGTTCTCCTCCGTGAGTACATCGAAATCATATACTTATAAAAAATGATGCTCGGGTGAATGAGAAATTGAAGCTCAAAGTGAGCCATGTGAAATGAGTTTATGTTGGTGGGAAAACTAAAAATAAGGTGTGTCCCACATAGGAAGTGGATGAAATCTATACCCACTTTATAAAGGAATGCTCTTTAGAATGGTGTAATCATGTGTAGCATAGATGCTCTCTTCACGTGCGCGCGCAGGGNGCATCCAAATCTCTTGCAAAACATCTCCAAAATTCTTTTCCAAAAATTATTTCTTGTAGAGAGAAAAAGAATTGTTTGAGTTCGTTGTTGCTTGTGGTTTGAAGTGCTTCAACTACAAGTTGTATCCGTTGTATCTTGAGAGACAAATGCCGTAATCCATAAGTACCGTTGCAGGACAATTTTGTTTTAAGGAGAAAATGTTTTATCACTTGCCTCAGATTTTTCATTCGTTTCTCCTTCTTTTTTTTTCTTTTTTTTCATTTTCTATTCCATATTAAGTTTAATTTGCTCGTGCCAATTAAACTTTACCATTCACTTCATCAATCACAAACAACCATTTCACTACACAATTAACCAATAGCTTTTGCTTGATGTCACACCTTTGAGTCTTGGCCTCGAGACTACCGGTGAAGTCATGACTACTTTGATTCCAAGCAACACCACAATTCCGACAAAGAAATAGCAAATTTTCTCGACTTACTTCGATAATCAACCTAGTGCGTGTTGGAAAAGTTGAGCATATAGCTGACTTTGGATGGAATTTTGAGTGGGACCCATTTGGCTATTTTGAAAGATGAAAGTTGATTTGTGTTCTCCTCCGTGAGTACATCGAAATCATATACTTATAAAAAATGATGCTCGGGTGAATGAGAAATTGAAGCTCAAAGTGAGCCATGTGAAATGAGTTTATGTTGGTGGGAAAACTAAAAATAAGGTGTGTCCCACATAGGAAGTGGATGAAATCTAAAACTACTTTATAAAGGATTGCACTTTAGAATGGTGTAATCATGTGTAGCGTAGAGACTCACTCCACGTGCGCGCGCAGGGGGGTGTAAATAATGGATAGAAATAGGTTTCGGACCTTGAACTTGTGTGCGAGCGCGACCAGCGTACACGAATGTCGACCGAAAGGAGCAAAATTGGCCCCTTAGGAGTGTCCACGTTTTGCTACATTTTTTAATTTTTTCAACAGACTTTTGATTTTCCAAAATTGTTGAAACTCCTAAAACTCATGTGGTAATTGCCTTGAAATGAATAGGCAAGTTACAAGATCCAAAGCTTTTATATATCTCCTTTTTTTCCATTGTTCAGTACACGAAAAATTATCTACAAGTTCATCTGCATACAATTTGGGTCTGTCTTCAGTTTTATTTTCTGTTTCTGTCTGTTTTGGTGATATTATTCGGGCACTCATCCAGTTCGCAAGAGTATAATCTGTAGTGCTCAGATTGTGCTATTTTGGCGTTGTCTCCTGGGAAGCAAACGCTCATATCATACTTCAAGCACGTACGGTGAGGGAACGAATCTGTTTTAAGGAAATTGTGTATCACACAGGCCTCGAGTTAAAAATTATTTGTTTTTATTTAGTTTTAATTATCTATATTGCTCGGTTTTTGCAAATTCATAGTTTTGCAATTTTTCTTTACGTTATCAGTTGTTAAAATCTGTTATGAATTGCAAAAATGATATGTGTAATACATTCTGCAAATCCGATATCCAAGTACTTAAAACAATTATCCTATAGTGCGCTCATCCTAGTGTATGAAGGTGAAAGAGCAAGAACCAGGGATAACAATCTTCTTGGGAAGTTTGACCTCACAAGCATTCCTCCTATACCTAGAGGTGTCCTACAAATCAATGTGACCTTTTGACATTGATGCTAATGGCATCCTGAATGTCATGGCAGAGAACAAAACTGTCGGTGTGAAGAATAAGATCACAATCACGAATGATATAGGAAGATTGAGCAAAGAAGATATCGAGAAAATGGTGATGTTGAAAGGTACAAGGCTGAGGACGAGGAAGTGAAGAAGAAGGTGGAGGTGGAGGTGAAGAATGTGTTAGAGAATTACACGTATAATATGAGGAACATTGTTATGGATGAGAAGTTTGATAGCAAGTTGGATCCATTGGAGAAACAGAAGATTGAGAATGCTATGGAGGTGGTAATTGAGTGGGTGGATAGGAACCAGTTGGCCGAAGTTGATGAGCTTGAAGGAATTTGTAATCCTATTATTTCAAAGATGGACCATGGTGGTGGCGGTGCACCTATGGGTGAAGACATACCTAGTAGGGGTGGGGGTGGTAATGGTTCTGGTACCTCTGGTGGTGGCGCTAGGCCGAAGATTGAAGAGGTTGACTAAATTACTAAGAAGTTGAGAAATTAGATCTGATTTTGGTTCTATGTTTCTTGTTATTTTTCTAATGTTGGACATGTAAAATTGCCAGCTTGTATAGCATGTAAAAAAATGGGTTGCATTATGGAATGAAAGTTTCTTTCTTTCTTGTAACAAAGTTCTTATTTGCTTACATAGCCCCTGTTTGAGTCACATTAAATCTTTCATTTTTATTCTTCTACTCATTTTCAATTGCAGATTTTTCAATAAAATAATATTTTCCATCACATCAATGACTTTTCCTTCTTTTTCAGCAACACATTCTCCATCAATCTATTATTCCAAAATACATTCTTCCAAAATAATGTGGTTCAAACACACAAATAGTATGTAATGCAAAAAACTTAATACTATAGTATGCTATTAGTGACTCTATTAGAAGCATATTAAGGTAGTGTGTTGAGGTGATAAAATTATATCTTTCTTTACGGCTTTAAAAGAAGTGATCTTTTTATTAGTCGAGTTGCGGTGATGAGTCACATGGATGTGGAACTGTGATAATTAAGTCACACAAAAGAGAGAAGAGGATCTTTTACTGTTATTAACATTGTGAAATGATCTGTTCATTACAAGAATAATTGAAGATTATAATATGAAAAAGTCAACTTACAAAATCAGGTTTGACTAGTTTTTGAATTTGATTTTATTTACTTAAATTGATTGAAGACTATCGGCTTAGAGGTGCAAAGATAGGTATACAAGCGTGCCATAACTAACCTTAATTTGTTAAATAAAAAAATTTATTATGAAAGGAAAATATAATTTTATTTAAGATAACAAGGAAAATAAATTATAAAGGAAAGAAGTCTATTGTAGATGGTAAACAATATTTTAAAAAGAGAAGAAAAATTACCAAATGAGTTTAATGGCCATTTCTATAAATTCATGAAATAGTGTTGAGAAGAATTGTGCTTGTTATTAAGGTGATGTAAATTCCGTCAAAGAATTACGTGATTCCAAAATTTTAAAGTTAAGAGAAAATGGAGGGAGAAACTAAGAGCTTATTTGGGAGAGATTTTAATTAAATTAAAATTGAAAATATAGTCGTTATTGGATTTCATTCGTCTAATAAAAGTTAATAATAACGACTAGTTTTTCGATTTTAATCCCTCACAAACAAGCTCTAAAGTAAAAGAGTACTCATAAATTTTTAATCACACGTTTCATCAATTTTCATCAATATTTATTAAAAATTCGATTTTAATCTCCAATCCAATACCATATTTAACACTTAGGGTTTGTTTGATAGACAAAGGTAGAAAGGAATTCTAATCCTATATTAGTTGGAAAATAAAAATCTATCAGACCCATATGAATTCGTTTTCCATGAAAACAAATAAAATTTAAAGTAGTGGTACCATTGAATTCGATCTTCATTTCTATATTGCAATCAAACGGTCAAAGTGAAATTCGTTTTTTTTAATGTGACATTTTCCATGAAAAAGTTTGTAATCAAACTGGCCTTGGAAGTAAGATCTTGGCAAAATCACGAGACTATTGACTACCGAAAGAAAGAAGCTAAAATAACGGATAAGAGCCACTCCATGTTCTCAAGTTGAAACTCAGCACACTGCATCCTCTCCCCACCCTCCATGGCTGGTTTCACCAGCACTTTCCATCATCCCTTCAAACTCCAACTCTCAAAACCCCTCAGACCCCTCTCTTTTCACTCCAACCTCTTCACTCTCCGCCTCCAAAGACCCGCCACTCGATGGCCCTCCGTCTCCTCTACAACCAACGTTATTGTATCCCGCTACGGAGGAGGAGGTGGATCCTCCCGAAAGCCCAAGTCTAATGATGATCAGGCACTTGATATTTCTTCCATCAGGTAACTATAAGGCTTTACCCTTTCTAAGTTGTCATAAAAATGGAATCTTTAATATTATAGCGCTAAAGTGAGAATTTTTTTTATTTAAATTTTACTTTTGGGCATTTGATTTTGGTGTTTGCTGCTTTTTTTTTTAAATAGGTCAGATAAAGTTAGGCTTATTGATCAGCAGCAAAACATGGTGAGTACTTGGACTACACTGTGTAGATTATAAGTGATGGCATAATGATGCATTAAAATGGGTATTTAATTTGTGTCTCCTGCATTGTGTAGGTTGGAATAGTGTCAAAAGGTGAGGCTCTACAAATGGCTGATAATGCGGAGCTTGACTTGGTATGCTCTTAATTTTTACATTGAATTTTTAGAATTTCTTTCTTTTCAATGTTTTTGGATTTTTATACAAGTGGGAATATTATTGCGGCAATTATATTGTAGTTACTGACTATGATAATAGTTGATTTTGCGGGGGCAATTTTAAGCCAATTGTGTAAATTATTTACACTAGTAGTGGATACAATAGTTCCTCTTCAGTTCTCCCTTTTACTTTTTCTTAAGGGAAGAGCTTTGGAGGGGGTGGTGCCTCAGACCGGTTGGCAATTTAAAGACAGGATTCTATTGTTAAAATTTCAACAGTTCATGTTGATGAAAGTAAACTATTGGTTAATTATTTGTTTAGATGAGGGCTGTCGTACAGACCATTCTTTAGTATTGGGATTAGTTTCAATCTATACTTTGGTTTTGAAGTGCATAGAAGGAACATATATTTTACATATAAAATCTCAAATGTCCTACCCCTGCTCACCTGTCCTCATGGTTTTAATTTAAATTAATTTGGCATTACAATTCTCTTTTCAAAATGGAAAAGTTTATATACCAAGTCACGTATTTTGAAAATAAGAAAATGATAATGTAAGGAAACAAATATATTTTTAGCTAAAGAACAGTTATTTATGCCATATTTACTATCTTAATGAAAAGAACCATATATTATGATCTCAATTGGATGAAAGAAATATTTCGATTTTTATGAAAACAAAAAATATCATGTTAACTAAGAATCAATTATTTAATTCCATAATTATCAAAAGAAAAGGGAAAAAAAAAAAACTTAATTGCTAATAACCATTATTGAAAAATTCAAATGAATAATTTTCTGATTCAGCCAATTTTGCTCTTATTAATCTTGAAAATTGACTTATCCCATGCTTGCTGCGTCCAGCAGACTCTAGTTTATGTATTGACATCATGAAACAAGTATTGCAAGAATGGTTGACAACAACTGGACAATCTGGTGCTTGATTCATGATTGACACAAATTTGTTTCCCTCTTGGAAATGCATGTCCTTTTCGGGGAAAATTTATGTATAATCAGTTCAGTCAATGATACCTGTGGCCCATTACTTCTAATATATTTTTTTCCAGTGTTTTTCTTCACATAAGTCTTTTTGTCTTTATTTTGTGAAAAAAGAAGGGAGTATTTTTATCCTGGTTTTTATTTTGAATTATATTTCATTGTCTGGAAATATTCAGTACTCATTGATTCTGTGTACATTGGAAGAAGAGGTCAATTGAGTGGTCAAATTTATTTTTCATCCATCTTTCTGCCATCAATTGTCCCTCTCAATTCTCACACAGGCTTAATCACTGTTTTGCCTTTTTCTTGCTTTATTCTTTTAGGTGATATTATCTCCAGACGCAGATCCTCCAGTTGTCAGAATAATGGATTACAAGTAAGACATATATACTTTTTGGTTCTTTTAATTGCTTCAGCAAATTTGGTATTATAGCCAATTAAATTAAATGGAGTAATCTGTCAAAATTTTGCTAGACATTGACAATATGATCAGTTAATAGAAGTTTGGAAGATACGTAGCTAAGCGCTTCTTAAATTTAGAATATCACAGCGACAAATTAAGGATGTTATTTATTTCTATCCACAACCCCATCCACATCCACTGTCCTGTATTTGTTGTCTATTTCTTGTCACAGTTGCTTAGTGTAACGACCCAAGTCTCTATACCCAAGCCGTTAGTTTGCGTATTGTCCGCTTTGAGTTGTCCAATTGGTACCAGAATTCAACTTAAGTCTCCCATATAATAGAGGCCTTGAGTTCGAATCTTGAGTCGTTACAAAAAAACTCGTTTTTTTTTTGCAACGACCCGACCTCGACTTGCCCAATTGGTACCAGGATTCAACTTAAATCTTCCATATGATGGAGGTCTTGGGTTCGAATTTTGGGGGACGCGTTAGGAAGCCGTGAGGGGTAAGATGTGTCTAGGCTCTCCCGAAACGGACAGTACATAAGATAAAGATTTCGGCGCGAGGTCAGGTTTACAAAAAAACGCGCGTTTTTTTTGTAACGACTTGACCTCGCGCGCTTTTTTTTTTAACGATCCAACCTTGCTTCGGAATCGTTATCTTACGTACTGTCCGCTTCGGGAGAGTTTAGGCCCATCTTACCCCTTACAGCTTTCTGACGCGTCCCCAGGATTCGAACTCAAGACCTCCATCATATGGGAGACTTAAGTTGAATCCTGGTACCAATTGGAAAATTGTAACGACCCAGGTCTCTATACCTAAATCGTTAGCTTGCGTACTGTCCGCTTTGGGTGGGCATATGCCCACTTATCTCTCACGGCTTTCTGACGCGTCCCCCAAGATTCCAACCTAAGACCTTCATCATATGGGAGATTTAAGTTGAATCCCGGTACCATCTTAGCCCAATTGGTACTGGGATTCAACTTAAGTCTCCCATATGATGGAAGTCTTGGGTTCGAATCCTGGGGGACGGGTCAGAAAGCCGTGAGGGATAAGATGGGCTAGACTCTCCCGAAACGGAAAGTATGTAAGATAACGATTCCGGCGCAAGGTCGGGTTGTTACACTTAGTGACTGAAGTGCATTGATGTGTTGCTTTTTATGACTTCTGCAGTAAATATAGATATGAGTTGCAGAAGAAGAAACGAGATCAGCAGAAGAAAAGTCTTGGTGAGAGTCAACGATTTTCAAATGTTGCCATCTGTCTCTGTTTCTGACATTAATCAGAAAATTACTCAAATTGACGTACTGATTTCAATGGCAGCCAGCCGCATGGATTTGAAGGAACTCAAGATGGGGTAAGATTCGTAGTTATGGAATTT